TATTTACCATAAAAATTTTAAACGGTGCCACTGCCATAAAACAATATACAGACAAGCTAAAAAGAAAAGGAAATTTACTATGTAGAAAAAAAGAGGGAGCTTATAGGCAGAGTATTAAGGGGAAGATAAAATCATAGAGACCTATAAGCTTCAGAGCCGTATAGGCCTCACAGCTGGAGCTGGGATTTTAATGATCATATGAAAGAGAGGACACAAAGGAGCCAGAATTACATTGCTTTCCTCAATCCTGGAGCTTCAAAATGCTCCCAGACTTTATGAACTAAAAGTATTACAACCCAAAGACCCAGAAATGCAGTTGGAAACTGGATGTTTGGTCAGGCCTTCGGGTGATAGATAAAAAGGAAAAGTTAGGAGAGAAAAGTTGAATCTTCAGGCTGTGTCTCCCATGTGTTTGGAATGAAATATACTCTTTCCATGGAATGTAAACCATATACCCAAAAACTGATGACAAAAAGGTCCATAGCCATTAAAACCCTCGGGGACCCTGGCATTAGGAAATTCAATGTGGTTCTAGAGTAAACTTCTGCTTCCAACCAAGATCAATTAACAGGACTTTGATTTAACTCCTTGCTTGAAACAGCTAACACCCCACCCCTCAGCCCTCCCTGCTCTATACACACAATATGTGCAACAGCAGTTTTGAAGACAGTGGAAGTCAGGCAACAAAAGACAATGATGCCTGAGAGATGGAAACAGCCAAGCTGAGAACTATGGCTGTCTTAATACCTAGCGGGAGTTTCCAGGCTGTGGGCCAGAAAGGGGAATTGAGGCAGAGCTGGGCGATCTCACTGAGCTCAGAGTCAGAGTTGAAAATACAAGATCAAAGCAGCTAGATTTCACAAGACAGGGAACTGAAAAAGCAATTGCAGCACAGAGAGAATCCTGGAGACCTTCATACCTTCGCAGGGTCTCCCTTAACCCTTCAGCTGTGCTGTAAACAGTACATGTGTGAGGAAACTCCCCAAGGTTAGAGAAAGAGCCACTCATCAAGACAAGAGGAAACGATGCCTGGAGCTCACAAAGGGCTGGGAGTCATACTTTTTTTTTTTTTTTTTTGCAATGAGAATGGGAAATTTAATAATTCATGGGTCAATCAGTAGAGGTTTTAGATGGCTTGTGCCTCAGTATTAAAGCAAAATAAGCCCTTCACTAAATTTGGTTCTGGGTCTATGTGGGCGAGACTTCAAAAGATCAAACTGTCTCCAAGTAACTTAAGTCTCAGAGCAAAACGAAAGAATATTTCTAATGTACAAGAACATCTGTTTGGAGATATCAGTATGAATTTGTTATTTTTAAATATACAGATAAAACAGTAAAGAAATGAATACATACTTGTGTGAATAATGGGTTAGTATACATACATATATTTCATAGTTATGTCCACTTGGAAGACCACTAGTGCCCAGATGTTAGTTGCCAAATATTATTCTTCAATTTTAAAAAATGAGAAGTGATTCTAGGACCCTGAGATAAAACACATACACACACACACACACACACACACACACACACACACACACACACACATACAAGAATGATGTAATAAGATGTGTACAAAAAAAAAGATGGGACACATCCCCAAAAAACAGAGGAATCAGTCTGAAAGAGCTGCCCCAATGACTAAGACTGGAACAATTTGAAAAACAAAATCATGTTAGTAGTAGATTAAAACACAAAGAATAAAAGAAAATCCATAAGTTCACACTGAGAATGAAATGATTAAAGAAAGAAAGAAATAATAAACAAATGGTGAGAAAGGACACTGTCTTACTGAAGAATTCCAAATTGCATATGTAGAAGAAAGAGAGGGAAATAGAAAAGTCACCATTACCACACCACTGTAAGTGGTTGCTGCACATAAGATCCAACAATGACTGCTAAAATTAGTGGGTATAACTTTAAGAAAAAAATGTGTCATTTGTACAGTCACAAAGTATTGTCCCCAAAATATTAATTAATATGGTGGTTTTAACATATGCCCACGCATTCTTTTATACCCCTCCCTCTAGATTCCCCTCTCCTGGATTCAGTGGCCCACTTCTAATGAATAGACACAGGAAATTAAAAAATGGTAACCAAGTGACCAAACTTAATAAACGTGACCCATAATAAGTCTTGTTAACCTCATGTGCATTCTTTTATGATACGATGTTGTAATGTTATCATATGACTACATATGTGTAATATTCCTCCAAATCCTTCAAATATTCCTTCAGATCTAAATTGAAAGACATTCTACAAAATACCTGACCAGTCATCTTCAAATGTCAATATCATTAAAAACAAGGAAAGAAGCTGTCACAAACTGAAGAACACTAGAACACTAAGAAGATATGACACCTAAATGCAATATGGGACCTTGGATTAGGTACTAGGGTAGAAAAAGGTCATTATTAGAAACACTGGGGAAATATGAATACAGTCTTTAGTTGTGCCAATGTCAAATTCTTAGTTTGTGTCATGTTAGCACTAGTGCGTGTTAGATGAAGGTTATAAAGTCACTTAGTAATATTGTTATAGCTACAGGACATCAGTTACCAGCGTTGGGTCACCTAAGTCACTACCAAGCCAATTCGTGAGGCTGCTGTTAGTTGTCATTTCTCCCCAGGCTCAGAGTGCTCAAATAGACCTAGAATCAACCTCTTCTTCTTGACCTTTGCTTCACTGCATCCTAAACATGATGGGGCGGAGCGGTGGTGAGGGAGGCTAAGCAGAACCCTGTCATGCAGAAGCCCATCACTAGAGCTTCTCTGATGGTTCTCTGAGGCAGGGGCTCCCTCTGTAGTCTCCTTTGTGCACAATCCCAAGAATGCAGGGCCACACAGACTCCACGAAAGCTGGTTTTTATGAAGAGACAAATACTGATGCTCCACTGTGAAGAGAATGGCAATGTCAGATTTATGAACAAAATATTAGAGTTGACGCACTACTATTGCAGAAAAATGATACCTGTGAGAATTTTCAATAGCCATTTATTGTATTGTATGGCTGGCTGAATAACACCCCTCCCCAAAAACACATCCACATCGTAATCCCTGGAGTCTGCCTCTGACAACTTATATGGTAAGAGTAGACTTTATAGATGTGATGAAGTTAAGGATCTGGAGATAAGGAGATTATTTTGGATTAGCCAGGTGGCCCTAGATGCAATTACATGTATCCTTATAAGAGATAGCCAGGGGGAGATCAAACACAGGTGGAGAATAGAAGGCAATCTGACCATAGGGAAAGAAATTGGAGTGCTGTGACCACAAGCCAAGGAGTGAGGCAGCCACCAGAAACAGAGACAAAGAATGAATTTCCTCCTATAGCCTCTAGAGGGAGTATGGTCCTGATGACATCTGGATTTTGGTCCAGTGATACTGATTTTGGACTTTTCCAGAACTAAGAGAATAAATCTCTGCTGTTATAAGCCCGTAACTTTGTGGTAATTTTTATCGCAGCCACTCAAAATTAATATACTCCAATATGTTCAGCTAACCTGAGACTAGGCCAAGAAACTCATGTCCTCATATTTTCTGCAAACCTTGTTCTTATGTTTTAATCTGACACCCATCTCAAACTACAATGAAAGAAAATTATTTTGAGACTTTAATATCCCCCTGTCTGGAGTGTGCCTTCCATAGGTTATCGGGAAAACACAGTCACCTTTCAAGATTTTATTCCAGCAGCACCTCCTCTTGAAAGAGTTTTAGGCTTTATGTTCTCAGTACATATATTAAAAAGAAAAAAGACAAAGACTCATGTCTACTTGATGTTTACATTTTTGTGGGGAGGGAGAGACAGAGACAAATAAATAAGGCAAATAGTGTATTAGCAGGTAATACACGCTATGAAGAAAAGAAAAGGCAGACTAAGGTAAGGGGGACCAGGGCTGTCAGAGTAAGGAGCGTTGAAACTACAATATAATGTTGAGAGTAGGGCCCAATGAGGAAGTGACCTTTGAGCAACCATTTGGAGGAGAAGAAGGAAAGAGACATGTAGGTATCTGGAGGAAATGCATTCCAGGCAGAGGGAGGAGCCAGTACAAAGGACTTAAAGAATATTTTAGGACTAGTGAGGAGGCCCATATGCCTATGAAGGGAGTGGTAGAGTTTATGTCAGAGAGGCAATGGGGCAAGATGGATCATACAAGACCTCAATGGCCTTAAGTGCTTTGTTGCTTTGTTTTCTTATTCCAAATAAAACTGGGAGCTAGCAGATGATTTGGAGATGAGTGACATGATCTAGCATATTCTAGAGGGCTGCATTTGAGAACTAGTTCAGAAGTAGGTGAAAACAGATCAGTTAGGAACCTATTGCAATAATCCAGGAGAAAGATGATGGTGGCTTTGTCCCGAGGGTTAGCAGTGAAGGTGATGAAAATGGATTGATTCTGAGTATATTTTGATGATAGAGCCAGTTGAATTTCCCAATGGATTGGCTATAGAGTGGAATATAAAAAGAGGATTCAGGAACTACTCTAAGGTTTTCAGCTGGAAGGCTGTTGGTGGAGCAAAGTTGAGGATAATCTTGCATGCTTTGAGCATGCTGTTTGAGAGTGGTGGTGGTGGGGGGGGAAGCTTGATTGGAGTGTGTTGAAAGATAATGGGAAAAGAGAATTTGGAGGTAAGTATTGATCATTAGTAATAGCAACAAGAGCTACCATTAAGTCGAAATGCCCCACAGTCTTTGGGGATGTGATACATGAGGGAAGGCAGGGCTAGATAGGATGGGGTAGGATCCAGATATCAGACGCAGGAGCTATGAATGGTGACTTCTTGATGAAGGTATATATCAGGTTAACACACAGTCAAATGCATAAACAGGTTGATTTTAATTGATGTCAATTTTTCTCCATTGCCCCCTCTAGAGGCAATGTTCTTTGGAGAATCCCGGCTGGGTCTTCTCCTTTCCATGCCCCTAGAGGGAGCTCCAGAGGCTGTGGACATTGGTTAACATGCTGACGTCACTGGAGGCCACATCTTACAGGGCCAAGAGACAGATTTGCTTGCCTTTTTCTCATGCTTGCAAGCTCGCTCATCTGGAAACGTGATTTACCTCAGTCCTGCCATGGTTTCCAGGCTTCTCAGTTTAGTGTCCCTTTGTCTCCTGGGAGCGAGTAAGTCTTCCAAAACTTAAATATCTCCGCTCTACCCTATCCCAGACTTTAATGTCATGTATTCTGTTTTTGTCTCCTCCCACAGAGCACACAGCTGCTGGAGTTACTCAGTTCCCCAGCCACAGGGTAATAGAGAAGGGCCAGGCTGTGACTCTGGGATGTGACCCAATTTCTGGACATGAATATCTGTATTGGTATCGACGTGTTATGGGAAAAGAAATAAAATTTCTGATAAACTTTCTGAGAGACTCTAAACAGGATGAGTCCGGTATGCCCAATAGTCGATTCTCAGCTGAAAGGACCGGAGGGACAAATTCCACTCTGAAGGTGCAGCCTGCAGAACTGGAGGATTCTGGAATTTATTTCTGTGCCAGCAGCCTAGACACAGTGCTTCACAGTCATGCCCTCGCTGTGCAAAACCATAGCCTTCTCTCAACTCACACCTGCCCAAAAGGAAGGCTTTCCCTGTGCCTCCTCCCCCAGGGAAGGGGAGATAAAGAACCAGAATTAACTCTTGAAAATACAAGAGTATTCTAAGAAGATTTGGGTGAAAATAGTTGTGGTTTGGGGGATCTCTGAACTTCCTTACACCGAATTCGATCTATGTGTTGCTGGTTTTGTTTTTTAAAGCATATGTTGCCCTGGTTATAAAGTACAGTAGACTTCTTGCCTATCCTGCTGCTCTGAAAGGTTCATGACTCTGACTGTGAGGCCACATCTTTATATCCCTTCTTGTAGTAAGATGAAGAATTCTTTCTAATGGAAATAAACATAGCGAATAAAAATGCATTTACTACTGATTTTTAGGTTGCTCAATGACGACTCTAGTAACGGTGGCAGTGGTGACATTGGTAATAGTGGTAAATAGTTTAGGTTGTTTTTGTCTAGCATTTATAAATTTTCAAACTCTTTAAAACAATCTGATTTTTGAGTGCAGCAGCCAACTCCATTATCAGAGGTAAATGCTAATTTTTCTGTCCACATAGGGTCTGAGATTTTAATATAAAAAATACAGCTAGCACTATAAATAGACATGTCAGCTGACATTTTTTGAGATCACTTCCAGTTGCTGCAATAGGAACATGTGTTCCTTTTGACTTTCTTTCTTTTTTTTTTCTTAGACAGAGTCTTGCTCTGTCACCCAAGCTGGAGTGCAGTGGTGCGATCTTGGCTCACTGCAGCTTCCACCTCCTGGGTTTAAGTGATTCTCCTGCATCAACCTCCTGAGTAGCTTGGATTACAGACACCCACCACTATGCCTGCCTAATTTTTGTATTTACAGTAGACATGGGTTTTCACCATGTTAGCCGGGTTAGTCTTGAACTCTTGATCTCAAGTGATCTGCCCACGTCGGCCTCCCAAAGTGCTGGGATTATAGGCATGAGGCACCACTCCCAGCCTTCTTTTTTTTCTTTTTGAAAAAAAAGAAAAATTATCATTCTATCACCCAGGATGGAGTGCAATGGCAGTGTGATCACGGCTCACTACGGCCTCAATCTCCTGGGCTCAAGCAGTCCCCCTGCCTCAGCCTCCCTAGTAGATGGGATTATAGGTGTGCATGACCACACCCAGCTAATTTTTGCATTTTTTTGTAGAGACAGGTCTCACTATGTTGAACAGGCTGGTCCCAAACTTCTTGGCTCAACTGATCCTCCTGCCTTGGCCTCCCAAAGTGCTGGGATTATAGGCATAGGGCACCATGCCTGGCCTGAAATATGTAGTTTTTAATGAGATTTAATGGTATAATACATTCTACCTGGTTTGACTGCCTTCTTTTAACATCCAGATTCCAATATTCTGCTTGTGTTTCAGTCAGGTTTTTGCAAACAATCCTGAAATTCATTTTAATAATGTTTCATTTTCCCTAGTCTGATTGTTATTTAGCACATCAAATTATTATTGAACGGATATCCTAATGCTGATTGGGCAAATAGATAGTGAGAAAATACTACAAGTGGGCTTGTAGTATTTTTTCAAACCGTATTTTCCTTTTCTAATGATCAAGATCTATTTCGTAGACAATCAGTGCTCTCTATGTGGACATGTAATATGAATAGGTATATTATTTCTGTCACAGGCATCACAAACACATATCTTGCTTGAAAGTTGTCCATCACCTTCTTTAGTATGACAAGACAAAAGAAAAACTGATTTATAAAGCATAGTCACATATTGAACATGAGTTTTTTCTCAAAATTTCAGCTAGAGAACCCTAACTGGTGCTTTTCCTTTTATTGTGTTATGTAATCCAAGGTCATAATAAGTAGCTAAATTATTGATTTAGTTTTGCACTCTAATCTCTCCATTATATTTAAAAATAGCAGCTATAAGGCAAAACAAGTTCGCAGCGGGTACATTGCCTCAATTCCAAAATCTAACAAGCAGAAATTTAATTCAGCGCTTCGCCATTTCATACTATAGACACCTAATGTTCTATCCTGTAATGGACACACAGTGGCTGTCATTATAGTTCTGTTAGCTCAAGTGATATCTTTATGTAAAATTTTTCTAATACTGTTTTTTTCATTTGTTAATCTTTCTTAAGGTATGATTGACTGATAAAAATTGTATATATTTAAGGTACACAAGATGATGTTTTGATATACATATACATTGCAAAATGATTACCACACTCAAGCTAATTAACATATCCATCACCTCACAAAGTTACCTTTGTGTGTGTATGTATGGTGAGAACAACCTACTCTCAGAAAATGTCAAGTGTACAATATGTTATCATTAACTATAGTCACCATGCTGTCCACTAGGTCTCCAGAACTTTCAAGCACACTCCAAAACATCAACTTCTATTCTGATTAAGTCTCAAATATGTCTTCATGTTGCAAATAATAGCTATTTTTAGATTAGCTATAAATAATGAACAACATTGGCATAAAGGATGGAAAAGAATAAATGAAGGTAAGGGCTCTAAGGTCTTTGCATTTTCCAGGAAGTGATAAAAGCTGCAATTGAACTTACACATGAAGAAGTCAAGGACGGCAAGTCCTATAAACAGATGATACTTCAAAACTGAAATGTCTAGTGCTAAGCAGCCTGGACCCTGCACACAGCACACCTGTCTTTGGCATGATAGGAAGATGAGGGACCCAGATCTTCTCCCATGCTGCCCTTGGCCTTTATGTTTTCCCTTTCATCAGTAAAGGTTCTCCCTTAATTATCACCCTATGACCGAAAATTCATCCTAAGCCTGGACACGTAAAAGGTGGCAACTCTGAAACAGGCCCTGGGCATGACACCACATGAGGCCACACCCAGAACAAATTGCGAAAACTAACAAGGTATTTCTTACAGAATCCCTAAGAGAACATGTCTGTCTGGATTTAAGTGTCTACAGTCATAAATACACAGCATATGGTTGGATCTGATGGAAATGAAAGCCTTTTAATGCTTCCCCATGCCCATCACTCTCATTGTCCTGAAGTGGTGTTGTCAGTGGCCTCAGCAGGGTGCCGTGAGGATGGTGAGGCTACACACATGTGATATTGACCAAGCTGGCTACACAGATGAGCCAGACTCACTCTGTGATGTAGACAAGAGCTCACCAATGGAGTTCCATGAATGGATGACAGGCATGCCACTGTAATAATCCCCTCAACCATGACAGAAGTCAGGCAAGACCCAGGCCATGGGAACCTTGAAAACAGTCACCTCTAGCCTCAATCATTTCCTGCTGTTTGCCACACTGTGCCTACAAATGTCATTTATGATACAGCTTCAAATTTCCATGCTTATTAAAATTATTATCAGCCTTATCCAATCTGACATTTTGAATGAAATCATATTAAAACTATATATTAATTGAACACTGGCGTCTTCATAATAATGAGTCTTCTACAGGTTCCTAGACCACTAAAAAATCATGAATTGCTGCCTTTGACTTGAAATGGATTGTCCTTATTCTCTTCCTAGTCAGACCAGGGAAAGGTACAGATTCACGGCAGCTAGTCCAGCAAGCTTCTAATATTCAACTTCTAATTGTCTGCTTTAGGACAAAAAAGAAATGATATCCTTAGGAAGACTACCATGCAAATGATTCTATCTGAACCATCCTTACATAATAGCATTTCTTATAATGTGTCCTTAACATACTGCTTTGCATATATTTCTCCAACATCTCCAAAAATCCTCTTAGCCCAGGGTTCCTCAAACTTAAATGGGCATGTAAATTATGACCTTGTTAAAATGCGGATTCTAATCCAATCAGTCTGGGGTACAGCCTAAGATTCCCTGTATTTTGAACGAGAGTCTAAGTGATGCCAAAGCTGCCAGTCCATGGCCCACATGGAGTAGCCAAGGTCTAGATGAGACCTACAATAATTACAGACATAATGCTGCTCTTCTCAAGTATCATTTTTCACACTTCCTGGACTAGGTCAGATACAACCCTACTTACCACATATATCTCTGTACTCCAAATATTATGTAATCAGTTTTCCTAAATCTAGGCACCAACGTTTAAAAATATAGTTTCATGATGTAAATAGAAATTAAGTTTCTATAATAAATACACTAAGTACCTAGTGACATTCATCCATCTTTAAGGTGAGTAGCAAAAAGCAAAGGCACTATCTCAATGGTTTCTGAGTGAGACGTTAGCAAATGCTATCTGTATGGAGAAACCGCTGGGCTGCTTTTTAGGATGAGAGAAAAGTGGGGTAAAGTGAAGAGAACTGGATGAACATGGGACAGAGACAGGGACAGGGCAAATATGGGAATGTCTGCCTCAAAGAAGCAGCAAATGATATAGAAAATAAACACCTGTTCCATCACTCTTCCAGACAAGTAGGAAGTTGCGTATAACAATGCAACGAGGAATGACCCCGGCCCTGGTGAAGTCAACAGCAACAGTCATCACAGGCAAATCTGCCTATCAGGGACTGGGGACTCTAAACTCCTGCCTCCCAACCCAGGAATCAGAGCCTGAGACAGACAGATGCTTCATTCCTATATGGGGTGGTATTCCTGCCATGGGTCCTGGGCTTCTCCACTGGGTGGCCCTTTGTCTCCTTCGAGCAGGTGAGTCCTGGGTAGAAAGAAAATCTTTGACTAAAGCTATCTTGTCCTCAGTCTTCGCCTTTCATTCACGGCAGCAACATTGTTCTCCTTCACTCTGACTACAAATTTGTCTTCTTTCTCTACAGGTCGTGGGGATGCCATGGTCATCCAGAACCCAAGATACCAGGTTACCCAGTTGGGAAAGCCAGTGACTCTGAGTTGTTCTCAGAATCTGAACCATAATGCCATGTACTGGTACCAGCAGAAGCCAAGTCAGGCCCCAAATCTGCTGTTGTACTACTATGACAAAGCTTTGAACAATGAAGCAGACACCCCTGATAACTTCCAATCCAGGAGGCCGAACACCTCTTTCTGCTTTCTTGACATCCGCTCATCAGGCCTAAGGGATGCAGCCACGTACCTGTGTGCCAGCAGCAGAGACACAGAGCTGCAGTGCTATCTCCCCTCTGTTCATAAACCTCATCGTTTCCCAGATCCAGGTGCTTTCTCTAGGACTCCCCCCACACCAACTCTTACAACAATAGGAAGTGGGTTTGTGGCTGTCAATATCTCATCTGTAAACAGCAGTTAGGCGCAAATCAATAAGAACCATTGACAGTTATGCCAAGAGTGGAAAAATGGTTACACATGCCTGGCATTCAGCTTGCGGTATTTCCCAGGATCATATTGAGAACACATGCTGTCCTTTTCAGAAGATGAATAGAAGCCTTTTCTTTCCTCTTTGATCGTTTTAATCTAAGTCAGAGGCTTAGAAATATAAGAGGTGATATGTGAAGGATTATGGAGACCCAAGGTCATATAAACTCAAGTCTCTGGCATTTGATTTGATTAAACCTTATAGGGTTTCATACTCCTGGATAATCCACATGTTTTTAGCCCAGACCTGGAGCAACTACCTCATTAATGGGAGAATGAAAACACAAGTATCCCAAGATAAAAATCTCTCAGGGAAAAAAAAAAAACACATTGAAGAGAGAGAGAGAAAAAAAGGGAAGACCATACATTCATCTGCTCCTATCTGGAGTTAGAGGTACTATTGTGATGGCCAAATGGAAACCATAAATATATAAAGAAATCAAACTGAAAATAGAGCACATTTGGAGATGAAGATCATGGAGCCATTGGTATAGAAGAGAGTAATAATGTCACTGAGGTGCATAAGGGCTCCAGCAAACGTCAGTAAAAGAACAGCTCCAGGAGGGAAGAAGAAGGGAGTTCCTGCTCCCCTTAATGAAGATAAACAAAATGCTGAGCGAGTAATATTGAAACCTCATAAATTGTCACATGGAAGCATACATTTACAAATTATCTTATAATTAACATCCCTCGATGAGAATGGTATTTTGATTTAAAAAAGCAGAAAATATAGTTATATGGCTATCTAAACATGTAAAATTTTGCACATTGAATAAAGATAATCTTAAAAAAGACAAAATCTATTACAAAAGAGCTTTTACATTGTTTTATTGATATTGATAATATAATGATAGCTAACATTTACTAAGCACTTACTACATGCTAGACCTTAAGTCTTCTTCACGTATATTTATAGTTCATGTAAGCTTTACAACAGCCTCAGAAAGTAGGTACTATTGTAATCTCACTCATTTATCGATGGGGAAACTGAGACACAGACAAGTAACTAGCCCTTTATCACATCTCGTTTGTGGTGGAGCCAGGATCGAAATGTAGACAATTTACTTCTGAAGCTCATTCTCTCTTGAGAGTTTATGTGGGTTCTAAGCCAGACCTTCGGATAGGAAAGTAAATGGTGATAAGCTGGAAGATTTCCACACTCTAACCCAACATTGCACTCGCTTTCCTTTGCGTCTTGGCCAGAGGGGTGAGCCCCTGTGACTATGCCTCACTGGTTGACTAGCACTGAGTGGCACTGAGGGCCAACATAGAGTAAGAAGGTCTTTAGGATAAACCTGGGAGGATGAAGGGTCAAAAATGCTGAGCTTAAATCCTGATCCTGAGGGATCCTTTAAAGATGGATGAGCCACCCTTAGAACGTGAGAAATTAAACATAAACTCTTTAACTTGTAGAGATGCTGAGGTGCTTTCCTCAAGCAGTAAACTTTGAACCGTGGTTATGTGCATGGTAGGGAACCTATGAGGATGGAACATGGATGAAGAAGTGGCTGGATGTTCAGGAGCAGGTGCAGGCAGAAAATCAGCTGCCTCCAAGAGTGGCGGGAGAAGCTGTGGAGCACCTCTATCCAGACTCGCCCAACATGCAGTCCGGAAGGCTGGGAGATACGGGGAAAGGGGCATCATAAACTGCAAGTTGATTATGTCAAGAAAGGACTCTTGGAATCCGAGAGTGGGTACGTGTGGTGGTATCACAGATATACACACACCACCCTTTGGGACAGAAGAAACAGAAGAGCACTTTCGCCACAGGGACTAGAACCCTGGATTTAGCTAGAGAGGCTGGCTTAGACATTTTCATGAGTCCTCTGTATGAACCATATAATTTAGAACCATACTATTTAGAGGTGATTGATTAATTTATATGACCTGCATAAAGTCTGTCTTTCTGGAGGAAGCTCAGGTTCAATAAAAATAAAATGATTTCTCTCTTGTCCTTCTCAGTCTTTCCTCCTTCTGTCTTTCCTTTCTTTCTGTCTGCCTTCCTCATTAAGAATAGACATGAACTAGTCACCTGTATGCTTTCTGAGGTATGCTGTTAGTGCTGACAACACATTAGTTTGATCTAGAAAAACTAACTCTGTTTTATTTTATCCGAGAGTCTGGGACCCCTCTTTGATCCAAAAAGCTTGCCAACTTCTTACCAAGAAAATATGTGCAGGGTTTTAGAGAGCTGTAGGTAACAGAGACAAAATAGAAACAGCACACATAATTTGGAGGCAGAGCCCTTAGAACTCTGAAGCTTGAGGCCCCCTGATGCCCCAAGCCTGCCTATGGCATCAGGTTCCTCTGCTATGAGCCCCTTTTCCTCCTGAGAGCAGTGAGTCCTAGGCATGGATGGCCTGTCCACCTTGGGCGCTCACACTGTAGTCTGTTTCCACACCTTCCTCTAGTAATTCAATATTCACTCTCATTTTTCTCTCCAGCCCCTGCTCCTATACTCTAGTCCCACAGACTCTGTGCATATCCTGATCACAGAGACAGAAACAGAAGTGACACTAAGATGTGAGTGATAAAACTTACAATGCTGTAAACAAGACTCAGGACTTGGGCTGGCACTGATGTTTATTCTTATGCCATTTTTTCAGGAAATATGCATTTAGGAACTCCTGTATAGCAGACATTATTCCAGGTTCTGGGAATAAGGTAATGAACAAATCAGACAGACTTGTTTAAAACTCCTGGAAGTTATAAACCAAACAGGTGTACATGAGAACAATGCTACTCTGGACAAGAAAGAACCTGTTACCTTAATGCTGGCCAGCGCAAACCCAGTCTGGCAGACATCTGTGAGCCTCCAGACTTGTAAAGAATCCTATACCTGTATAGATCTTTGCATTTAAGGGCAAGCCTAGACAGGAGAGAACATCACTCTCATGAATCCATGTCCTAAGAAAGAGAAGAAACTTCCCTCATAGGAACATTGGTGCAGTCTCACAGTCTTCTTACCAAGTGGGAAAATTAGAACTGCTAAAACTTTGTGCCAGAATTTAAGACAAATTGTCTTGGTCATGCATTATTTACAGTGCATTTAATTATTTTCCCTAATATAAATCTGTTGATGAACCACTTATGTGGTGCATAAATTGGACTTATATTAAAAAGTTGGATGTGGTGCTTTAGAAGATATATTAAAATCATTAGAGTCTGGCCTAAATTTTTAATATGAATAAAAAATATAAAGTACCACAGCTTGTTCAGAAGAAATAGGGTGTCTGAAATCTACCAGAATAGCTTTCTAAAAGCCAGTATGTATCTTACAGCCTTTAGTGTGCTGAAACACTTATAATGATGGATTGAATAAATGGATATTTGAGTGGATAAGGTTCACTCGTACAAGAAAGAATTGGTACTTCCTAGCTATAGAATGTCAGTTTCAGAAGATGAGAAGGAATGTGTCCTCATTCTCATTTTAATTTTGAAAGACAAGGCAGCAATTCCTACTATGGAATAGTTTATTACATCACCACCTATAGAGATCAACAACACTAGATATTTGCAACTCTCTAAGAGGCCAAGAAGGATTAACCCGAGGTCAGATTCAGGTAACTGATCATGACTCATGAATTTTCAGCGATCTCCAATGGTTGTTTTTAAATTTTCAGCTGTTATGGTTTTTTCCTCTGTGGAGAGGGTATTCAAAGCCCCTCATGTTGCCATTCTGGGACTACTTCTCCCCTCCAGCCCCCTACCCATAAAAGTTTACAGAAATAGGTATCCAGACGGTGGGCTGTAGTTCACCAACCCCTGCTCTAGCCTAATTTTGTCTCATTACTAGAGCATGGCCATTCTGCAGGTACTGGTGAAGCCTTTCTGGGGTTTCTCTCCAATGCCTTTTAAAGCTTTTCCCTACACAGACACAGATTATTGTTTAACCAAAAATTTAAGATAATTCCTCCAGACAGCTGGAGTTCTTGTTCAGCTTCTTCCTCTCTGGAGGGCTTTCCTTGAAAACTCTAGCTGCCTCAGCCCCGCTGATTGTGTAACCTCTGTTTCCGCAACTCAAAATTTGCCATGCTCTGTTGTTCTGTTCACCACTCTGTGTGTACAGAAATTGCCCCCATGTTTTGGTGCTTTAGCAGAATCACGGTCCTGTACTGCCTGCTTTCCAGTGGCTGAATACAATTGTTTCATATGTCCTGTTAATTTGTATTACTTGTATAAAGCAAGATGCCAAAGGCAATTGGATTCTATCAAGTGATCATGTCACAGAGAAGCCACTGATAGAGGCAGGGAGAGCCGCACAGATAGCCACCTGCCTCTGCTGCTTGCTCTTCCCCTAATTCTTCCATGCGCCCAATATCCACCTGCTTCCTGATCCTTTGTCTCCTGGCTGCAGGTAAGTCCCTCTTCTGCACTTGTCAGCCCCCTGCTCTAAACCTTTAATCCATGTCATCAAACTCCCTCATGGGCTCAATCTCCAACTCCTGTCTGCTTTATTTACAGGTTCTCCTGGTGAAGAAGTCACCCAGACTCCAAGACATCTTGTCAAAGGGAAAGGACAGAAAGCAATATTATATTGTGTCCCAATAATAGGACATGGTTATGTTTTCTGGTATCAACAGGTCCGGAAAGAGTTCAAGTTCTTGATTTCCTTCCAGAATGAAAACATCTTTGATGAAACAGCCATGCCCAAGAAAAGATTTTCAGTAAAGTGCCCCCAAAATTCATCCTGTAGCCTTGAGATTCAGGCTACCGGATCGCAGGATTCAGCAGTGTATTTTTGTGCCAGCAGCCAGTCCACAGTGTTAAATATTAGCTAATCTTAGGGTACAAACTCATCGCAGACCCAGCTCAGGAAGCAGGTGGTGTACTAGTTTGGAAGGAAATAACATAAACTACAGCTAGCTTAAGCCAAAGGGGGATGTATTACAAGGCTGAATGTATGTCACATAGAACCACAAAACAAGAACACAGAAACTTCTCGGAAATAAACTGCAGTGAAACCTTAGAACCATGGCATAGCCGATTGACAACTCATTTTGCATATATTTTGTGGGCCTCATTATTCTCTTTTAATATAAATTGTCCTTTCTCTTTCTTAGGTCTCACAGTGATTCGAAAATTGCAGATTCAGATAGATGTCAGCCTTCCAGTTAATTGAGACTAACCTGATTTTCTCTCATGCTAGATTACAAATGCAGATTGCAGGAGGAAAAAAAAAATGATCCTGCTTTACTCAAGAATATGTTCATGGAAATCCAAAGGAATTGAGTTATTTTGAACAAGATAGTATCTGGGAGCCTGTCCCTCTGATCTTATGGAGGAAGGATTTCAAGGGGTGGAATCCAGTCAGGACATCCAATAGGCATCCATCACAAGTGAGAAGTCAAGGATAATTAATACATTTTCTGGAATATAGAGACCTTGGGAAAGAGAAGGGTTTGGAGAGGGGATCAAAACCTTAGTATTTAGAACAATGTCAGACCACATAGAAAATCTGATTAATCTTTCCTTAAGAAATTAAACCTAGATAACACAGAAAGCATGTCCATTTTAAGTGTGACTTCAGATCCTACAAATTCACTCATTGGCCTCTATGGCACTGAAAGAGAGCAGATTAATGTGTTCTTGGTGTAAAACATATTAATGCACAGACAATTAGAAAATTTCAAGTATATTATTCAAATTGTAATGAGGGGCAAGGTATTCAACATCAGTATTCCTAATGAGGCATTATGGTATCAACACTACCTAGGCAGGAGACTACACTTATGTTGAGAGTTACAGAATTCAAAATACCTCTGCTAAAATTTGATAATCCATTCTGTTCACAAATCTGGTCACCACCTAGTATTCACCTTAAGAAAATTTCCTTTATTCTCTCCAATTAAATCTATTCTTATTTCAGAATAAGTTGAACCTCATTGTCTTACTTCCAGAAGTCCAAAATTCACTCCTGGAAGTAAGTGTATTTTGGGAAAACATTCACTCTGACTCCTTGAAAGAGAAGTTCTCACTTTATCACTTTTCTGATCTATTTAATGTTATACCTTCTTTCCTTCCTTCCTCCTCTCCTTTCCCTCCC